CGCCAAAGAAACGCGCCAAGAATTCTTTGCGCTCTTCGACCCTGTCAGCCCCATTCGACACCGAAGAAACGGTAAAAAATTGTAAAGCTACAAGAAACTTCTTTTCGAAGTGCTTTACGATAAACTTCTTAGCATAAAATCATCGAATTACTATTTCATCTATTATTTCAGCATTTTCTAAAATTCTCTGTTCAGAAAATCAACTGAATTGTCGTTGAACTTTTTCCAAAATAATTTTACCAACTTCTTTAATAAAAATTCGAATTAAATTGTTAAAGAAATTAAAGAAAATATCATCGAAGAATTATTTTTCGATATTCTTCGGTGTTTGCAGAGACTTTCGGTAATGTGACAGTGGAATCAAGCGAGAAGGGTAATTAAAAGGCTCTAATTAGCCGCGTTTCATCACGGCGGACAATGTCCAGTCGCGTGGCCGGTGACAAAAGCGCCGCTTTTCCAGACTTTTTCCGTCGGCCGCGTTGCGTAAGATGCGCGAGACGCGGAAACTGAGCGCGTTTCCGGTCGACGATGGCACCGCGCCAGGACACAACCAGCGAGACACCAGATCTTTGTCTCGAAGCTTCAGAATTCCTCCTTTTTCCCTCAACTATTCTCGAGCTTGGATTGTTGATTAGTGAGAAAGTACCAGCCTCCATTTTGCGGTGATCGAGTGGACGTATGTATATAGAATCGCGACATTTTTCTGACGAACTTTCGCAAGTCTCTGAACTGTTTTGAGTGGATTTGCGAAGCTCTGTGTTGAATTAGGTGGACGTAAAAAAATGGTGTTTAGAATTAAGGAAAATTTGTGATATCGTTCTGACGAATTCTGAAATAATTTTCAGTAGCTTTTTTCGAGTTTTGTGATACTTAACGACAAGAACGTAATACTGTGAATTTTATGAGCTTCCATTTTGTGTGAAAACGAGGATAATCATTTTCTAAATAATTTTGAATTAATTATTTGTTAATATGAAATCCTGAGAATTTTTGCTTTCGAAAATAATGCAACGATTGATGAAAGAAAACAGGTTGAAAATTCAGAATTTTGAATAGTTTTCAAGCAAGATCGTCACGGATCAGCCTGAGCTTCCATTTTGTATTACACTGACAGTCCACGCTAAGAACTTCCCCCTAAAGTCACAAAATTGAGATTCGAGGAATATTTAGACCCACTTTGTAGCTGTCAATTCATTTCTCCAATTTTCTGTCTCAGTTTTCGCAACTGGAAGCGAAAATTTTATCGACGATCGACGCGAAAAAACGCAAGCTCCCCGTCAAGTTTAATTTTCATAAAGGATCATTGAAATGAAATGCGACATTTCGCGATCACAAAAGCCGATGAATCATCGACTCAACGAAGCAAGAGCTTCAGCCCTGATTTCGCTTTAAAATCGACTGCTTATGATCGAGGGATGGGCGAATTTTCCCATGACTCGTCGCGTTTCCGCTTTAATTTCATTTTAATTGCAGTCGTGGCGAAAAGAAACGCGAGCTTATGATCGAGGCGTTGATGAACTTTCCCTTCGACATCGATTGTATTAATTGGCGATGGAAAGCGTAAACTTATGATCGAATAGATGAATTGTTGGGCAACTTTAAAACAAAGGCATTCGACGAGAGGGGAAAGTAGTTTTCTATGGAGTTAAACTAACTACGTTAATTTTTCCGATATCAAATTTTGAATTTCTTCGAAAATTATGAGATTTCGAGTAATTTCTGCGGCAAAAATAATTGCAGAAGTTGTGGTGTGTCAAGTTTGAAGTTGCTGAATGGTCAGAATTGCGTTTCTGATCATTCTTGACAGAAAATAGCAGCAAATGAACAATTCTGATCTATTCAGTGTGAAATCAAGTTTTCTAAAAATCAACCAACCTACTATAAATTGTATTTACTCTTAACTATTGTTTTAACAAAATCTCCAAACAACAGATCTGTAAATTTCTAACTCATTTTTATCACATTTTCACATCACTCTAGCACACTCTGGAGCTCTATAAAAATTCTGTCACCAACGATTCGATGATTCGAAATTTAATTAGAATCTCTATTCTCACAGAAAATTCGTGTCTTCAAACAACACTCTTTAACTTTACTGAAATTTTTAAGTAAAAAATTCTCACCATCCTTCCATTCGCACGTTAATTTTCCCTCAACTAAGGAAATATCCATTTCAAACAGCAATTCAACCCTTCCATTCCTCAAACAACACACGAACGGCACTTTCCACAAACTTCCAAGAAAGTTCCTCTTCCATCAATCCTTGGAAATCTTTGATTCAACACCTGAACACCTAACAATGTCTTCGAGAACAACTGACAGCCAGGTAAGCTGTCTAAAACACGCTGAACAGACCGATCGAACGTCGTCTGGGCGAATAAATGTATGAATAAAGTATGGAAACGGTTCGCCATTGGCAGGGAAGACGTCCGTCTTCCAATCTCTTTTGCATCGTTAGACGCGCATCTCGAGCAGATCGGAACAGAGGAGGCTGCGATTTCTATAATCGAGGAGGCCGCGGAAAGCCGCGGAGAAAGTGCGAGGAAGGAATACGCGACGCTTTGCAGAAACCGCGCGCAACAAGTTCGACGGTATCGCTCGTAAAACACCGGCTGAGACACGATAATTAAGTGGCCGGCCGATTTTTCCGCAGCCGCCGCCGCTTTGAAGCGAATCGACCGCTTTAGTGGCCCGATTAATCATAATTTCTGGATCGTTCGGCGTACAACTTCAAGATTTTTTGAGCAATGGAAGTTTAAGAGACAACCAATGGAGGCTGAACGATTATTTGAATTTTTTCGTTTCATAGGAAATCTTGATTTTCTCTTTGGGAAATGATAGGCGAGACCTGAGAACATTCGAAGTTTTGGAATTTTTTTATATGGGACAAGAAATTGGGAGTTCCGTGAATTTATTTGGGAGTGTAATTAATGATTTTCTTTATGCGGAGGAAAATTTTGAAGTTGTTTCAAAGTGGAAATTTAAGATAAAAGAGGAAGAGGAAGTGAAATGACAGGAATTTAGAAAAAGACATATTCTGACATAGAAGTTTTCGGGAATTTTTAAATTTTCAAATTTGAAGAAGCAGCAATATATAAATTAGAGCACTAAAAATGAATTTTGAGCACAATAGAAAATCTTGCAATTTTGTAACTTGAAAAATATGAAATTTTAGTAAAGTGTCACAATAATTTGTATGTTATATTGAAATTTTCTGTAAAATTCTCAAAAATTCTGCACTATTCATCTCCAAATATACACTTCACCTCTCCAACAGTGTCATCTAACAATTTTCTTTACTTAACAACAGAAAACTTTGAAGATTGAAAATCTCCATGGAGATTTCTAGAAGATTCGCAGTAATCCTAAGAAAATAGTTCCATTCCACTCCCTTAAAAAATATTTCAGCCAGTCACAAGTCACTTTGCTCAATCGTTCAGCAAAAACAACGTTTTCCACCAAATTTGTGTCAACTTAACCTAAAAGAAATTCTTCCAGTTTTCATTTTGTAACTAAAGCAACCTATTCGGCGTGGTTCGGTACGATTTCACCTGTGAACAACTTGTTCACCGAATTCTACGAGCAACGTAAGCACGAACGCTACTCGAAACTATTTGGAACAAGAATTCTAGCGTTCGTGCACGAAGATTTCATTCTCTGTAACGCTCGAAGGTTGAATTAAACTACTGGCGGACGTAGGTTTTACGTCTCAATTTAGATTCTACTGGTTCACAGCGGTAAGATCAACAAGCTCTATTTGTCCCAACACCTGATTCATCTGATCAACGGGGCTTTTTGCGGAGGAACGAGATGTTTATCAGATTCTACGATTCGCTTATCAACGAAACAACCTGTTTTACTCTGGACAGGCCTGGAGATTCCTGAATGGAGGCTCAATTCGAGGCCTAAACGCAGCTCGAGCACTCTAATTTGCTTCAAGAAAGTTAATTGCGCTTTGAACTGACGTTTCCTATTTAAAACGTCGCTATTTAGAACGTCACTATTTTAACTATGAGTGGAATATTATAGTAAACTTTGATGCAATACGGCAAATATAGCTTTAAGTAGCAGATTTCACATAAGACCAATTGGACAGAGTAAATCAGACATGATTCTGTATTCTACCATATATAATTACATGATTTTTAACCGCTATTAAAGTGAAAGTTCTGCGAAACGTATTTGACACTTTGTATTTCTTAATCTTCGCTAAATTTTTTCTAATCAAATATTTCTCGACAATGCGAGCACACAATCACTAATAATTCAACATTCTGCTACATTATTTTCTAAGGATTGTATCCTATATGAAACTAATATTGATCCATACGCTATTCAACGTTCCATTTTGCTCGTTCTTTTGCTAATTCTATGTAAAACGATAATCTTCATCAGTGCCAAAATCCTATTTCCTGTACTTCAAACTTATAGTCTTACAATCACTCCTCTAAATCTCTTTTACAGTTCCTATTACACATTGTACGTAGATGATATACTTTCAGACATTATTTTCACACGGTTTGTCAACAATTGCAATCAACACTGAATGATTTATCAACTAACATTCCTGGAAGCTTAAATTCATCTTCCTAACCTAACTTCGATTCAACCCCACTCGGTCAACAATCCTACAGAATCTGAATCAACTTTGAACCATTCGTCAGCAACCATTCCTATACAACTCGAATCAACGTTGAGAAACCGATAGCCCTATTTTAGCACATCAACCAACAACTCTATCTTCTTGAATTAATGCTAAATCACTGATCAACGAACAACTCTGTAGAATTCCGCTCAACGTCAACTCACTGCTCAACAATAAACAACTCTATCCCCTCGAAACGTTATCAAACCACTACTCAGCAAACATTCCTACAAAACTCCTCTCGACATCAACTCACTTCAAAGAAAACCTACCACCACAACACTGTCGTGAACAACACGCTTCCTTCGAATTTCCCTAGAAGAATACACTGTTCTCCTCGAACGTTCTCTCTCACCTGGCGGCGTGAGGCCGTGCGGGTTCAGATGTGGATGATGATGCGCACCGCTGAGAATCCCTTTTCCCTGAAGATGATGTGCCGTCGGTCCAGGCGAGCTAGTAGCCGGCAGATGTGCCGCCGGATTGTAAAACCCAGCCGCGGCCAGCGCGGCAGCGCTGAAGTAACTCGCCGCAGCCACCGCCGAGGACGGATGCGACAATTCCCTCTGACTTGGCAAAGGTGGCGGCGTTTCCGGCGCTGCCGCCGGGCTTCCTGGTCCTCCAGGTGGCGGTGAGCCGCTCCCCTGCGACGACGAGCCACCTAATATCGGTGGATGCGTCGTGGCAAGGATACGCTGAAATCCGTCGGTCTTGGCGCGGCTGGCGCTGGCAGGTGGCCGCCGGATATATGCCCGTTCGGATTGCTGGATGGGGTTCCAGCGATCGAGGTGGCGAAGGCCGAGTGCTGATTCAGAGCCGTCGCTGACGCGGGGTACGCCATCCCAGGCCCCCCCGCCTCGGCCCTCGGCCCCGTGTTTGCACCCTCGACCACGTTAGCCTCCAATTCTCGTCTACGTCGCTGGCCCTCGATGTCCTTCACGGAGGAGTCCACGGGCTCCTCCTCCACCACCTCCTCGGGCCGTGATCGCTGCTGCAGCGCGGAGGGTTGCGGAGTGCTGGCGCAGTGGGTACCCCTGCACGCTGTGTCTTGTTCGAATCTCATCGAGACGGGCGGATAGGCCGAGTCACGCGAGATTCCTCTTTCGATGAACCTTAATTTAGCCTCTCACGCACTCGAACTTTCACGCACTTCCCTTGTTTTTTTAGTTTTTCCTCCGGCTATAGATATCTAGATATTTAGAGTGATCCTTTTCGTAGTGATTGGTACTTCTTTGTTTTTTGTTTGTTCTTTTCTTTTGTCACTTGTCCTATGGCTCGCACTCGCGTCTTTTTGCGCAGCTTGTTCTCACTGTATATGTTATTAAACGTGTCTGTTTTTTTTTCTTTTTTTAAAGGAGAAACACACTCGTCGATAGGGTAGATAATATCGGTGTGCAGCACTTGTTTTTACTCTCTACTATTTCGCACTCGCGTCTTTGATATGCTAGTTTACTATTCTCACTGGACCGTAGTATCACTCGTGGTGTCCGTCCCTCGCGGTAGAATCTCGTGCATGCTCGAGATTCTCGGCTACGCGAAATCGAGGCGCTCGCTGGGGAACGATCGCTGCGAGCCCCCATCGAGGTCCGTCGCGAGCCACCTCATCTTCCCCCGAAAATGTTCTCGAACGAACCACTGTTTAATAAGAAGATCGTACGTGTACAATCCCTCTTCTCGATATTAATATCCCGATAGAAAAAACAGATCACCAAAGAAGAATGCTCAATGAAAATCAACGGCTAACTAATTCACGTCGCGAAGAAGCACACTATGCATAGATAGATAGATATACTACGTATATATCTCTCTCTCTTTTTTTTTTTTCTCGAATGTAGTCACAACAGGCGGCACGTCGATGAAAATTACGAAATCCGTAGTTTTCTCGTTCACTGTTCACTTTTTTCATTCACACAAGAGCAACGAACGAACGGTACGATGATGTACACGACTCCTGTTTGCCCATCGGAAGATTACGATCCGACGGACGACGCGCACTGGATATGCACGAGGACAGTTCGAGAGACGCTGATCCGCGCGCGGTTACGCGGCCGGCAAAAAGGCGACGCGGAGAGAGAGAGGGTTCCGTGGTGCACTGCTGCTGGCCAGGGCTCGTGGAGAGCGGACGAAAGGTGTTACTTGGGTGGCGCCGCGATGGTCACTGAGCAGCGCTAGGATTGACACCTCCTCTGGGGGCTCACCCCCACACCTCCCGCGGAGGTGTTGGTGTGCTAAAGTCCTCGTCCGGATTCAGGGCGTGTGTACGCGGCGTGGCGCGACGGAGGCGGTTGTGCACGCGTATGTATATGTGTTTGCCTGTGGGTACACGTACTTTCCCTGCCTGTGTGCGTGCCTATGTATGTGTGCTGGGTGTGAGTGTGTGTGTGCGCGCGTGTGTGTGTGTGTGTTGTGTGTGTGTGTGTGTTGAGACACGGAGCGGAGTGTGCCTGCGCCGCCGAACGGACGCGGGAGGCGTGAATGCTGGAGGGCAGCGACGCGAAGACTGAGACGGTGCAGGGGCTCCTCCTCCCTTCCCCTGACACCGTAGCTGCCTCGAATGGTGGGGGAACCTTGCCAGACAACCTGGTCGACACTGCACCACCGAGTGGGAGAAGGACGGATATAGTGGAGCGTGGAATTAGAGAAGGATAGCTAGAGCTGTCTACGGGCCCCCCACCACGATATACAGCGGGCGATAATGAGCGCTCGTTGTTCGGATTGGCGTTCCGGCGCCAATCCGAGCGGCGTTGCTCTCGACGCCTTTTCCGACGTTCTCTGTCCTCGTCTGGTGGCTCGATTCTGTCGCTCGTCTCTATTCCCCCCTCTGTCTGGCCCACAGCAAACCCCCACCACGTTGAGTATAAGGGTGTTAACCGCGAGTACGCCCATTAACACCACCCTTCCCGAAGCTTCGCCGGCTGGTAGGGGTGAATGTGGGTGAACGGTGGGAGTAGACGTTGCGAGAAGCTTCGCCGACGCGAATGCACGTCGATTGACACGTCGCTGGATTTTCGCGGCGTTCCACCACGGGCCACGAGCGATAAAGCCTGCCGGTTTTCTGAATGAGGGGGAGACTGGTGGCGGCCGGGGGGACTGCTCGTGGTACTGTTCCAGAGTTAATTACAGTTTGGGATCTTAAATACCTTCAGGTGGAAACTTTCACGTAATTCGCTGGTTGAAATTCTTCGTTTGGAGATATGCTCTGGATATATTTCTCAAATTCCCTTTCGTTATTCACGTTAACCCACGTTGACAAATATTTCCAACAGTACGAAGAATACGTCTACACACGTAGTAATTCCAACGTCTCCAATTTTAGTCCTCTGTCGTTCAACTCGGCTAAACTCAGCCAGAGAATGACAGAGAGAGAGAGAGAGAGAGAGAGAGAGAGAGAGGTAGAGGTAGAGAGGAATTCGCCTGCACGCTTTTCTCCATTAATCCGGAACAGCACTTCATCAGTCATAATTCAAACCGATTGGCCGTGTCGAGAGGCCGTCCGAGTTTTCCGCGAAAAGCCGAGTGAGAAATTTTCGCGAGCTGTGCCAAAATTCGCGCAGCCAGCGTCACGAGCGTCACCCCTCGCCTCCCACCCTCCCGCCGCGTCGAGTCTCGTGTTCACAGCCGACCTGCGCCGTGCGTCAACGGAGGAGAAACCACTGGTCACGCCCACCAGCTCCCCACCGCTTCCAACGCTCCCTACTACCGCCAGTCACGTGACGTTCCCCCACGAAAGACGATTCCACGTCAGTCTCGCGCGTTTCACCGGCACATTACCCCACCCCAACGTGGTTCCGCCCCACCTCCGCCGCGAAGCCTCTCGGTTTTTCGCCCAGGCCGTCGTGTCGTGTGGTCCCCGCGCGTCCTTCGCGCCGTCGAGTGTCGGCGAGACGCCCAGCGCGTCACAGTGTTGCCAAATCCGCGGCGGCTTTTCCACCGGCCCACCGTGATTTCCAGAAGCACTTTCTGCCGATAGCCGTGATGCGGAAATCGGCCCGCGGCGCTTGCTTTGGATCGTGCGACGCGTGAAACCTCTTTTCAAAGGGGTTTCAGGCCTGTTCGTGGAGATTTTCATTGGGAGAATTAAACTGGACGATTTCTCGAGTTTTGAGATTGGAATTCCACCGGTTCGAAATAGTTTAGGAGTTAGTGACGCTTTTGGAATACACCCAAGGAGAAGTTAGATTTTTCGGAGAAAAGAGGAATCCTTCCAAGATAAAATTCTGAGTCCAGAATTTATCAACTTCGTTGAAACAGACTGAATTCTTTTCTGGGAAGAATCTTCTCCTTTGCTAAATAGTTACAAATTATTTCTCTTCTAGAGATTCATAAATCTTACACAATTTGCTCTAAGTTCATAATAATTTTTATGACATTCGAAGCTATTCATGTATAACATCGACGGAAAAGTAATTCGATAACTGACATTCGCATCGTTTCTAAACATCAGCCTTGATACTTGCATTCGTTTGGTAGCCACGTCAATGCCTGTTGACGCGCATTGTGAATCGCGCGGCTAGTGTAAATAGAGTCCGCGAACTGCGATCGATTCGACTGGCTCTTCACGTTTTCGGCCATCGACTACGTTTATCGTCACAAAGTCGAATTATTTGCGCTACGATTCTTTCGACATTTCGAATTTCTAGAATTTTCAAGCACGCACCAAACAGCGGAAAATAGCAAATCTGATGAAAATGATTTCACATTGCCATCTGTGCATATTTTTGACTCTCTAAAGATTCACAGAGAATTTCGTCGAAAACAATTTCTATCTGAGAATTGAAAATAATCATTTTGAAGTAAGTTTTGCTCCGTTTCACGTAGGGGACTAAAAGTTACCGGGGTAAGTTGTTCCGATGGTTGTATCTTTAAAGATTGTGCTTTCAATTGTTTTCGCGGGGTAAGTCGATCACGCCACTTTGTCATCCATTTTAATAGCGAATCTTGTGGTTACAAGCGAGCACCTAATCACGTATCAGAAAAGTAAATATTTTTCGGTCTATTTCGATTATTTAACGTCGAAATTATTAATTGTTTCGGCCTTGTGGATCAAATGACATTTAAGAACACGTTGCAATAGTTTTTATTAGAGTACTTCAATATGTAAGCGGAATATTCACATAAATTGCCACGTGTGTCGATGGAGGCTAGTTGTTCCTGTGACTTGGGGCAGGTTGTTATATTTCAACCGCGAGCAATAGAGTATTTTGCCGGATAGGCAAATATCTCAATAAATACACATTTTAGACATATTACACCTTAATATTTATTTACTCAGCTTTTAATGGTCTCTTAATTTCCGGAAAGAAATACAGGGTGTTCCATTCAGAAAAATGATGGTGACCTTCGAAACTTTATGTATAGAAACAATGTAGAGAAAAACAATTATTGTAACATATGTCCCCCTGGAAATCAGGCAACTTTTTCTTCATACACTATTTCGTACAGCGAATAGTTTACAAGCAATTTCAGGCCGTCAAATTAAGTGAATCACCCTGTATTGTTTTAGTTTTCTATTAAAGATAATACGTATATTTTTGTTGATCTGAACCTTAATAAATAAACATTATTAATAAAATTGTATTTCATTCCATTAGAAAACGAACTATTTCATTAAAATGCAACTCTTATTTCATAGGAACAACTTACCCCTTACAATTTGCCCCTTGAAAGGGTAAGTTCCTCTTCGACCAATTACAAATAAATGACTCGCAATGAAAAACCAATTACAATATATTAAATATAAGCTGAAAATCCTAAAGTACAGCAAATTTAACAATAAATTAGTTAATAGTGAGAATAACTACATTATTTTCCGGTCATTTTTTATGTTTTCTCGAAATCGGAATTTTTGACCCCGATTTCCCCTACCGCCATAATTTTTTTATAATTTTATCATAAATTCAACGAAGTCTGAGACAACTATATTCGCCAGGGAAATGGCCACCAAGTCTCGTGCGTTCCTCCGCGGGCATTATTATTACAAGTGCCGCGAATCGTTCCCCCGTATCGTGCATGTTAATGTGTATTGTCAGCTGTCGAGTATCTGTCAGTCCATCTACGCGAGTGGAAGGGTACCGCTTCTGAGGTAGCAAGAAAACGCGTACCAAGCTTCGCCTGTCCATTATGGCCATACGTTAACTTTAAATCTTCTAATAAAGCCATTCTTTTGCCACTGTTTTACCTAACAAAACGTCGATCCTTTCACCGGTTCCTTTCGTTTTAATGCATGCTGTTTTAC